AAAGAGTATATATTTGGCTTTCACTAACATGAGTCAATACTGAAGCCTTTTAAATCTATCTTCTGCTTACCAGCTCCATGGGCAGGAGTTGCTGTGTACAATAATTAGTTCTCAAAGACATTTAATTTTGTATGTTATATCTTATGCTTATGATATTGTGATGCAGAAGACAGTATGCTCACAGTATTCTATGAAAGGAACCCTGATGAGCTGAGTATTTCCTGTTGGAGTTAATTGAATTTTTTTGGAGGTCTTAGTTTTTTCTTACGATTTGATTCTTCAGAAGCCAATTGAGATTAATTGCTTTTTGGGAAGCTGGCCTGTTTGTTATGACACTGACAAGTTGGTATACACAGCAGGGAAAAAAAATTCTTTATTTGTGTTTCTTTTTGTAAATATTCATCCATATAGAATAATAATAAAAAGCACATGTTTATACTTTACTAGGTTCTCAATTATTTAAGTACTATATTTAGCATTCCAATGTTCATACAACAGACTTTTAATGTCTCTTTAACAGGAGCTATGGGACATTGGGTTGTTTCATCAAAACTGTTAGTCTCATGGTCCATTTTTCCCCAAAATTATTATTTGACCCAGTGTAACAATACAGCCTGGCATATAGCTATACCAAACCCATTCTCCACAAATAATAGCTCATTTAACATCATTATTTCACCAGGATTTAGCTGGTATTCTGCAGAATTTGACTTTTTGAAAGAGTACAGTGTAGAAACAGAGAACATTAGCTGGGAGATGATGTCTGGAATGAAAGACAGGAAGACCAGTATAAAGAGCCAAGTGACCTATAACAGTTTTAGATGAGTTAGAATGTATTTGTTTAATGGATGAAGAAGATCTATTCATAGTGCTGAAATTTTATATATACATATATATATATGCATATATAACTATAAAGATTCAAAAGACTATTATGGTCAAGCTAGGGAGGAACAAGATGCTGCCATTGTGGAAATTAGGTGACAGAGCTACAGAAGCCCACATTTTTTAACCCAACTCACTGTTAAATGAATACGTGATACTGTAATTCAGCTCTGGGTCTTCCCAGGGCTGGAGCATGATTGTCTACATATGTGGACACATGTAAAATCATACCTGTTATTAAAATAAGAGGTTTTGGCAGAGTGCATTAAGTTCTAAATAGAACCTATTAGAGACCAATTTCCAGGAGCAGTCTCAAAAGAGGAAAAGGTAATCCCAGTGTTGGCCAAGAATCACAACTGCTGTATCTATAGTTACTGCAAAGAAGGCATCCTCTGTTGAGCAATATGACTGAGATCTGGGCTTTTTAAAAAGTTCTTAAATTTTTTTTTTAATTACTAGTTAGCTATCATATGTAAAGGTAATGATGGAAAACACAGTTTGATTTCTCCATCTTTACTTTTTCATGTTTAATCAGTTAACAAGCTTCTTGATTCTTCTGTTCTTTTTGTTGTTTATTGAACAGGCTGTAAGTATAAGAACTATGAGTGTTACACAGTTCTTCTTCTAGCTAGGTAAAATTTTTGGAAACGTGGATATACGGCACACAACAGTAACTGCTCATGCACTGGCAAAGGTCCCAAGCAGCAAACAAAATCTTATGAGTTGTTTTATTAAATCATTTCAACACTGCACAAGAAATTTGGGTCCTACTGAAATCAATGGAAATTTTTCTATTAGTTTCAGGGCAGTCTTAACTTCACCTTTTGTTCTCAAGTATCATGAACATGTATGTGATATACTGTCAATTGAGGATTATCTGTTCCCACATGATTCCAGCAATGAATTAAAAACCTAACCCAAACTACCTTCAGAGCCATTAGGGATACCTTGTGATGCACTTTTCCTTACACTTCCAAAACAATTCTGTATCTCACCTTCTCCTTACAAAAGATTAATGTTCCAAGGACAGCACATTCTAAGCTTTAATTAACATGTGCTTTGTTTTATCTCTGTTGTGTGTTATGCTTTACTTAAATGGTCTCATACATATTTTCACAGGTGACCATGAGCTGAGTATAGCATGTGCATGTGCCTGACTTCATGTGAACACATTCAGTGCACACTCTTGATTCTCTTCTTATATCACTCTTCCTGAATCCAACCCTTCCCTGTTTTGAAGCTTTTAAATTTTCTCCAGAATGCCAAACCAGCTTGTGATAGGATGAGTAACAAAAAAGAACAAGTCAGATGTGATATCAGGCAAATTTAAGTCTCATCAGCTGAGGAACTTCTCAGAGGTTCAATATACATCCTTTCCTGCCTGCTGGTACTACAATGTGTGTGCACTCGGGTGCTTGCAAGAAACAAAGTCACGTACTTTTGGGGTTTTTTTTTCAGTCTTTATTGAGAATTCATTTTTCAAATTACAGTCTCTTTTGACCTAAAATAATAGCTATAGGGCTGATTTTTTGCCATATTCATCAATTCTCTTGGAAAACTACTTTCTTGAAAGGTCTACTTTACTTGTTCAGCAAGCTAACTGAAGGAAGCAACTTGTTCATCTGGTATGACACAGTCACATAGATGTATAGTTGTGTAACAAACCCATCCAACAGCACTGTGACTTTATCTACTGTAAGCCACGTTGTCTCCCACTAGCTGGCTCTCCCGGGAAGTAAGTCCTTCACTGGGAGCTTCATTAGGATTGTTTTCTGCAGACTGCTCTCCATTGCTTGCAATTCCTGAAAAGACAACATAATTAAGATTGAAATAAATGTTGTATCTTTGACCCAGCAAGCTAGATGGTATATACTTTGTCAATGACACTTCAATAAGAGCCTTTTTATGCATCTATAAATGTTCAGGAAGCTATTTTCCTCAGTTTACAGTCCATTTGCAAAATGTTTTAGGTTAATGACACATCCCTAATGGTAATTAATTATCATGCTTCCAGCATGCTTTAAATAACTGCCACTGGAAGGCAGAGTAATTTCCACTCCATCTGTGCAAGACTTGTTCTCTTTTTCATAATTTCTCCTGATACTTACCTACCAGGCAGGAAGTGTGGGGAGCATTATTTTTTTGTGTGTCTGGAATATACAAAGCTCCAAGCACTCACCTCTGATAGACCTCTTTTTCCTTACTCTTTACCTTCTGTGATTTCAGTCTTCCACCCTGTTTCAGAAGTGCAGTTGCCTCAACACAACCAAACTGTGCCATGAAGTGTACTGACAGTGTTTATTTAATGTATCCTAGCCAGAATGCTCTCATTGCTGCACAGATGTCCCTCATTCTAAAGGAATCTGTTTTCTAGTGGAGATTTCCAAAAAGCAGGTGTGAATAAAATGAGTAAAAGACGAATGCTAACCACAACATTCCTGATTCGGTCTTCATTCAAGTCTGAACTATGATTCCTGTTGCTTTATTTGGACTCTTGTGTGGTTACACATGGTGCCTCAGAGCTAATGGAGAAGGCTTCAGCTTTGCTATCCATTGAATTTTCTAAGCCTACAGGTGGGGTCCAGTCTGGCCAACTTGGACACCTAAGTATGCCTAAATGTCTACATTTAGGCACATGAGTTAGACAAGATTCCACTCTGTGGACACTAAAGGTATCTCCTCCCCAGTTGCAACACTGCTTACAGAGGCACTTATTTTAGAGGGACTGGTTCTGTTTAGATACCAGTTAGATGAGTAAGAGATGTAGACTGGATCCAAGTCTACCTGTTTGGGATGCAGTGAGAGGCCCCTTACAAAGGGACTCACTGTTATGCAGCACAGTCCACCACACTGTGCAAGGGGAATTATAGCATTCAGACATACTGTCTGAACAGGCATAAACATTGTGGAGTTCCTGTTTTTAACTGAATTTCAAGTTGTTAACACATTCCCTGGAAAAAGCCATCTACAGCTTTTTTTCCACAATGGCCACTCTTCTTGTTTCTGGTTTTGATGATTCCCATGGAAACCATAATGATTCAGAATATAAAGCATGTATTTGAAACACAACCATGGGAACTCCATTTACTAAATCCAGACCTTTCAAAGCACCATCACTTTCATAATTCCCCAGGTAAACTGCCCTTCAAAATGTCAACTTTACAAACCGGTTTCAGATAAAACTTCAACAGATTTATAGATCATCTGCAAGGAAACAGATTTAAATTTTCCTCCATAATTTGTAAAGGCACTGCCAATAAATACCATGAAGAATCACTGCATTTAAGAAATTACTTCTGGTAAATTATTTTCAAGTATGACAACATACATTTCAATTATATTCCAGGAACAAATGATACATTCTGTCATTAAATATTGCAGTCTAATCACAAAATGAAACACCTACTTCACCTTGGACAATATTTTTACTAAATGGAAAGAAAATTACAGGTAATAGTTAAGCTGGATATATACACAACAGCTTCTGTATCTAGTAGTGAATAAACTGAATGACATGTAACTTCAGCTGTACAAGAGATTCTAAATATGAGAGGTTTATTCCCAAAACTGTAATTTATGAGTTTAGGAGTAACTCAGTTTTCTGTTGGACTGAGATATAGGGTTTAAGATATTCAGCTTTGAGCCTTTTGCTATCCCTGTTTTGACATTTCTAAGTCAGGTTTCACATGGCAGCAAACAAAGGATCAAGAAAAAAATTTGAAAATCCAGTTGCAGTTAGATTTTACGGTCAACGGTTTGTCCAGTTCTCCATTTTACTGAAATATGTTGATATTTTTTTTGGCATATAGATCACAGATTATATATGAAGCTGGAAAGATATTGATTTGAAGGAAGAGGTGAGATGGACAAAACAGGATTCATCACAGTTGGTTGAGATTGCATCAGAATAGCGCAGCTTTGCACTTGGCCGTAAAAATAGATTGTTTCATTGTTTGATTGTGCCTCTTGCTGCCACATTTGTAAACTCCATCTACTTGGCATGAGGTCACAAATTGCAACCCACAGCAACTGAGACTCAGCAGTCAGATGAACAGTGTATCATACAGTCCAAAAACACTATCACGAAGATTTACAATTACTGAAAGGCAGGAAACTGTTCTTTTTTCCACTAAGTATGTGTTAGATTGGATCTCAGAGTAGCTGACAGACTGACAGTTCTCCTTCACGATGGAGTTCCAGGTACATCATCCAAAAAAGGTTTGCAGCATTGCTGTCTCAAATATAGCATCCACCACCATGCCAGGATCCCATCCGCCAGCCTGGCAGCACTCCAGGAACAGAGTATGGAGCAGTTAGGTAAGAACAGAGGTGCAGTGCTTCATCTCTGAAGAGAAGTACAAAAAGCTACCTCTGGTGCAAGAAGGCCAACCAACCAAGCAACAACATGATGCTTAGTGACTTAGGAAAAAAAAAAAAATTTCAGTTCTCTTTACTGAACACATTTTACAGTCTCACTTGTCCACTCCTGCAGAATGTGATTTTTGGGAGCAATGCAAGTGATGAGCCTGTACCGATAGACTGACACTGCTTTGGCATTAATTTTGGCATAACTTCCTTTCAAAAAGAAATTGAGGGTGTTCAGCTATCAGCATCAGAAGTTCATACAATCATTCTAGCTGAACATTACTAACCTTTTTTTCATAAGGATGTGGGCTCGTATTGTTACCAACAGACCCACAGTAGGAGTTTCTGTAAGATACCATCCTATGCTGAGGTCTGGAGCAGAAACGGGTTTGATGTGATGCCTGTTTAAGTAGAAGTCATATGAGAAGTTTCAGTAATCCAGGGTAAGACAAGATTCAGGCTTTGAGCAACCTGGTCTAGTGGAGGGTGTCCCTGCCCACGTCAGGGGGCTTGGAACCCAATGACCTTTAAGGTTCCTTCCAACCCAAACCATTCTATGATTCTATGATTGAAGATGACTATTGAAGCAAGGTGACAAGCCAAGGTTGCTATGAGATGGAATTTAGTAGAAGTGAACTGTGTAGCTGTATTACCATGGTACTGAGGCCAAGCAAATACTGGCTTGAAGAGTAGGCAGGATGTACTCACTTCTGCTTGCAGAATAACATGTTGACATGTACTTTTTAAACCTTCTCCTTGACAATCTATACTCCATAAATCTCACACTGCGTGGCTTGTTTTCAAAAACTTGACTCATCCTTGTGAACTCTTTCAGTGTGCTTTTCTCTTCCTCTCAGAATTTTTATGTTTAAGTTTCAAGAATTCGCTTTTGGCCACTGATGAGGGCAGGATATTGAGCTAGGCAGACTATTGGACTGACCCACACATGAATGTTGTTGTATTCTTATGCCAGTTTGGATGGTTTTAAAACCTTCTCCATCTCAAAAACAATCTGCCCTGGTAGATATTTTCCCATCTTTTTGGGGGATTTTCCGTAAGTGCTGGGAGCAGCCCCTGTCCGTGGTGCTCAGTCAACAGTCCTTCTGCCAGAGCTGTGACTTCAACTCAGTCTGGCATTACGCAGCCATAATGCTGTGAGATGAAGTCTCAAGAGATCTAGAAGTTATACCCAGGACTATTTGAACATCAGAATAAAGCCTGCAAATTAGGAGTACTTTGACCAGCAGAAAGCCATTGGAGAGATCAAAATATCCCCTCTGAGCTTGAAAGACATTGAGGGATACCAGGAATCTGATGAAAAGGCTTACAACAAAATCTTGAGTCCACTTATGAAGAAAGACCATGAGTAATTCAGGCTGTCTCTTGAACAAGAGCATTGATGCTTTGTGTTTGTATCAGAACCACCAACTTGATGGTTCTGAGACATTACAATTTTGTGTCAATCAAACATCAGCCTCACTCAATTTGAGGTGGTCTGCCAGCTGCAGATAGCATAGGTAGTTCCATGTCTTGAAGAGTACATTTTGTCTGCAGAAGTGCAACTGCCCACAAATCAGAAAGGGCCTGGACTTTGTTCACTGTGAAGATGAGTCCTTAGGACATGAAAAAAACACTTGTAAGCTTGCAGGCCTCCAAGAATAATTCAAAACATCTCTGCCTGCCAAAAGGGGATGGTTTTGTTTGCTTTTATTGAGGCTATCCAAATTTATTTACAAGATACAGAGATATGAAGGGAAGTTTATTTACCAGAGTAAATTGAGTGTTCAGGACAGAGCAGCAGAGTGAAATCTCAGCAGAGTTGGTCTTACTGTCCCAAAAAGTAAGAAAAAAATGATGGAATCTCACAGCTGCACGGAAATTCATGGAGACAGAGGAGAAATACAAGGGGCATAACCAGCACAGCTACAAAAAAACCCATAAAAGCTCATCCAGTGTGAGGTCAAAGCATGCAGGATCCATAATGAGATATATCTAAAGCTTCAGTTACAACTTTACAGTGAGTAGAAGTTATTGTGCTTCTCCTAAGTCATATGAATCTCAACATTCTCATGTTAGGTGCTTCCAGTAGACAAAAGGGGACAATATAGATAAGTCTTACAGTTTAGTCAAAGTCTATATTATGACTGAAAATAGAGAGCAAACTATCAGCTATCAGAAGATTTCTATAGCTCTAACTTCAGGACAATTAAACTTTATTACACATTATATGCTATAAAATAAATTTGGTTAGTGTTGCATCTATTCAGTCTCAGGAGAGTCTTAACTATAAACATCTTGCATTGTCCTGGGCATAATCTATGAAAACTATTCTTCCATGCTGACATAACGGGACTACAGTCATAGGAAAACATTAAGCAGAGAATTTAGATTTTATTTAACGACAGGAAACACTCTGCTCACCTGTGGATTCTTTCAGTCTTCTGATATAATCAGACCAAAAGGAACAGTCTGCTTTTTTCAATCCTTTAAGAGTCGGCAATGAAACAGTGAACTCCTTGTAGTTATCTCCATCATCATTTGGCAGATACATAGGCCACGGGGGCATCACCCCTGACATTCTTCTTGAGAAACTATGAGGGTAGTTTGGATTTCTAAGGGAACAGGAGAAATGATCATTAGAAAACAATGACATGAACAGTAAAATGCAGAAGGAGATCAACTAGGTCAAGGAAATGTGTATCCAGTCCCTCTGACCAGAAGGGTTCAAATTTAGTCCAGACCGGTGAATCATTCACCGTGTCTCACCTGACAGTAACTTGTTAGTCTGGTTCACTTCCTAAGGAACAGGTACACAGAACCTGTACGGACACAGGCTTATGAACACCCTCAACAGCCCTTGGTCCCAAAGCAACCCCAGGTACGCAAAATCACAGCTCCCACACTAGCTTTCCAGAGATACTCCTAATTTTTGAGCACAGCCACAGCACTGTAAATCTGAGGGTTATTTGCAGAGCAGTTGGTAAAGGGTCCACTGTGTCTTCCTGTGCTTTCCCCTTTCTTCTGGGAATAAGTGAAGTCTTAGCCAAGACACTTCAGAATTGTGGTCCTAGAACTAAGCTCTGTAAGAGACACCAGGGCCTCTGTAGTCTCCATATATTTAAGTAGAAATTGCAGCTGCTCCATGGAGATAAAATTCCTATTACTTCTAGCTAAGTGTCATACTACTAATCTGGTATCTGCTTGACAACTTGGCCATGACTTTCCAACAGTGTTGACCAAAGTCTCCTCTGTAGGATTACAAACTACTAGAGGAAGTGGAGGCTGCTTGAGTGAAGGCAAGAGCTGGGCTACATTCCCTCTACTCCTTGTCCCTTCCCCAGTCATAGAAATTCTTAAATGTCACATACTTACCCAGAGTTTACAAAATTGGAGATATACTGCATAATTTGCAGGGAAAGGCTCTTTTCTTCCAGAGTAAATTGTTCTTCATACTTTGGGTAGAATGGCAGTCCAAATGCATACTGAACATCCAGCAAGATCTCCTGACCCGAACTGGAAAAAAAAAAAAAAAAAAAAATTTAAACCATCATTTATTTATTTGGGGGAGAAAGGGAGCTAATTTAATTCAGAGAATAAAGTAAAGTTTTAAATAATTAACAACCATTAACTAGAGTGCGGTGAGCTGTGGGGCTTCTTCAAGTCAGAACATAAAAGGAGAGCAAGGAATAACAAGGAGAATTTGCCATTAAGTTAATGTAGGGTCTCTAGCATTTGTTACAGAAGGAAATTGTGGAAGACAGTAGGGCACATTTTCTAAATTAACTGGGCATGTAAGAGAAAGTGATAGAGGGAGAAAACCACTTGGCTACTCCTTAAATGCCTCTTCAGTTTTGTACAGATTTTCACTAAAATTAAATTCAGAAAGTGGAAGCAAGTGGTGACATGGAATCTGGCAGCCATGATGGAAGGTTAATTATTTCACAGACTTGGAATAAAATCCTGGCCCTTCTTAATGGCAATTGGAATTTTTCCTTTTTCTTCACTGGGGCCAGGATTCTGCCTCAAATCTTTGGATAAAAAAAAAAAAAAAAGATGTAATAGGAGATGTTTATGAAGATTTCTCTTAGACATAGTTTTAATCTAATTTCTCTGCTGGCTGGGTGGTTTTGGTTCATACAGTCTGTTCTCTCCAACTTTTACATGTCAGTCAAGTCAAAACAGCTTGAGATAATCACCTAGATCAGATTTAAGAAAGAACAATTTTTGGTTAGTTCCAGGTAATAATTAACACATATAATAAGGAATATTTCAACAATTCAGAGACAAGACTGGCTAGGCAAGACAACAACACTTGTAGGATCTAGTAGCAAAGGTTACACAACTCAACATCTTCAAGTCTAGCAGAAAAACAGTGTCCAACTTCTACTAATAAAATTACAACTACACTATGCTCAACACATAGCTTTGAACCACAGCTCAGAAGGTGACATTTCTGGTATGTTCCAATTGCATTTTCTGTATCCCACATTTAGACGAAGGTCTTACTGACTTGGCTAAATGCTGCATGAAGGCAGATAGCATCCGGGAACATGGGAGAAGGAAAAGATATCTGTGAGGCAGGAATAAACAAATCCCAGATCCACTCAGCAAGATTTCATCTGCAGTGGCTGCAGAGGTTGTTGTCAAAAGGTGGCACAACTGAAACCACTTTATCTTTGGACATGAAACACAGCAGCATTGATATGACCTGGATACTGCCCCTGATGGAAACAGGCTTGTAGTTCAAACCACAATGGGCAGGTGGACTGAAAGCAAGATGACTCCTTTACATTTTATGAGTGGTGGCACCAAAGCCTCTATTTTGAAAAACAAACACACAACCCTCTAAATGAAATACATCTTTGGTTATATTTTCCTTAGTCTTATCATAATACCTCAGTAATACTTTGCATCTGGAAAGTGAATTATTCACAGATTATTCACCAAAAAAATGTAGAACTGAAACAAGATTAAAGCATATTTTTCTTCCCCAAATGTTTATAGAGGGATTAAGCAAGATCATAGTTTAATAATCTTGCTTTAAAAATAATTTGCTTGGCCCACTATATTACAGCAATTTTTAATGTCAATATTGCAGCAAAGGTACTACATACTTAAAGGAGCTATTTTCTTTTCAATGAACATCACTTCTGAATAGAATAGAGGACATGAAATTAGTTGACATGCAATGAAAAGACAAATGTACCCATTTAGGGAAGGCATAGCAAAGGTGAACTTAGCACTAAATCTAAAACAATTGAGCTGGGACTGAGGTTTTCCCCCCAAATGAGACTGTGTTCTCAGCCCTCATGTTCTAGAAGTGAAAACTGTTAAGGTCACAGCCCCAACTAAAATTCAGCAAGCTCCTAAACAGAGAACTTATTAGGACTGAAATTATTTACTTGTACAACTGTAGTGGGTTTGATACAGAGACATAAAGTGGTATATAACTCTACAATTTCATGGGCTTTCAATATTTCTAGTTGATGGTACCAAACCTTGGCCAGTGAATTTTAACATTAAAAAGATGAGAAATAAAACATAAAGCTAAGAGGGGAAAGAGGCACATATATACATGCACAGAACAGCAGTTAACACAACTGTGAAACATCTAAAGGGAAAGTATCAGGGGAACGTTTCTGTCTCCTCCCTCAAACCTTGGTCATCACCCATTACTGACAGAGGGGAGTGTAAAATAGCCAGAAATACCCAAACAAGGATTTTGGAGTCTTGTAGGAGCTCTGATGCTGCTGTACACTGCTAGCTCTGCAGGGAGGTTTTTATTTCCTGAGCCACTCAAAACCTTGCTCCTGATACCCCAGGGTGCCATATAGATGGCTCAAAAGCATCTATACTAAATGGGGAAAATGCAGAGCCCAGCAACTGGTGGAGTTCAGAGGACAGTTTGATAAAAGGGAGGACTGCAGAAACAATGCCCAAAGGGATTCTTAAAGTGGTTTTAAGGAAGACAAACTAATTTGACAGCAACTTTCCTTACAGAAGTTCCTTTTCAAGGAACAGATCTGTTATTTTAATAAGTGGTGAATGTAGTTACATGTAAAGATTAAATCTTGGCTTTGGTGACTTCACAGGACTAGTACTTCAGGCAAAGGTATCACTTCAGATCTTCTCTGTATAACTTTTCAAGTTGTCAACATTTTTAGAAACAGATTGCCAGCTCTTCTTAAATGACAGTATGAGATACTGGTAGATTGAGCCATGGGGAAGCTGGGAGCCAGACTCTACCACTATGCTCACACTAAAGCGAGCTTCCCTTGGAAAATTATTATTTCACTTCAGAAGGAGGCACTACTGGAGTTCAGTTACCCAGTTTACAGAAAAAAACAGGTAGTAAAATCAGAAACCTCGTGACAGTCATAGCCAACAGTTTAACAGCAGACCCTGAAATATCACTTGCTGGGGATATCATTATACAGTGCCAACCGAACTGGGAAGGTATTGGTTCTGAGAAAATTTTCCTTAAGCCCGAGATGGAGTTTCCAATGTAAATGTTTCCAAGTAAGAAAGAGAGAAAGGGATTTCTTAGCCATCAGATACTCCACTGCTCTCTATAGAGAACTGTGGCTACTTTCACATACAAAGAACAGCTTCAACAGGGAAAAGACAAGGTCAGAATTTAGAACAAAAATTCCCAGGCTATGGTTGATTTGGTCCAAATTCTCATTCCAAATAAAACAGGACATAGATGTAAATCCAGATTTCCAACAGTTGAAGTTAACATCTTAACAACAAGC